CCTGCAGGAAAAGAGAAACCTCGCCCCTCATAGAGGGGCGTGTGTGTGCGGAGTGGCAGAAAACCCTGCCACCAAAACCTTTTTCCGTTGCAGCAGGGGGCAGGAGCACCATGGCAAGTCTCCTGCCAACGAAGACACTTGCCATCGGTGGTGATACTGGGACTGATCATCCCAGCGTACCTGCATGTGTAAAGTGATGTTGCTGTCCTTTTGGCCCCCTTGGTTGCGGCGCTGTTTGTGCTTCTTGTTCTTTCGGGTAACGTTTTCGCCTCTAGAGAGAAGCCGAGGGACTTGCAAGCAGAACTCAGCCGAGACTCATCAGTTGTACTCGAGACTCATCAGTTGTACTCGAAAGATTAGCACTCTCCATCTGGAGTTCAAGTGTGTACATTTTTCCTTTTTGGTGTTTGACACCTCTGCTTTTTGCAGATGAGTTGTGGTTGCTTATGCCGCTCCAAAATGCGAGGTGTCGGGTTTTCCCAGTTGACAAAGGGAAGCCATAGGTTGGGTCACCTCGTGAAGGGCACTCCTGATTTGTTTTGGGTTTTCTTGCTTTTTTTGGGAAGGATGGCTTGGAAACAAGTGGCCAACCTTGCCTTCATTGGAAACTAAAAAGCGCGCATGTCCTGCGCCTCTGCTCATGGCCAAAACTCTCCTTTTGGCGTGGAGCTTTTTTCTCTCATTTTTTAAAATGTACACATATATATATATATGTATATACTTTTCCCCCTCTAAAACCAACAATTTGAAGGATCCGAAAAGCAACCGCAACCCCACAGGCACAGCCCATGTGGCAGCTCCTGCCGGGTGTGCGAACTTTCGAGGCGCAGCTGGCGCAGCCGGTGTCCGTGGAGGATCCGCCGCGGCCGAGGAAGCGGAAGTCGGAGGCCTCCGGTCTGCCCGAGCTCGCCGATTCGCGACGAGGGAAAGCCATGGGTGGGTCCTTTACCCGGGGCTCCAATTCTTTTTCTTTTTTCCCAGGTTTGGGACAGGTGGTAAGACATGCAGATACTGGACGGACGGACTCCACGCTGGTTTGGACCAGAAAGTGTATTTGTCACCAGGCGTCCGGCGTGGATTTGGTCCAGTAGACATCTTACATCTGGTCGGGAAACAAAAAAACATGGGCCGGTGGTTTCACGAGATCTCGGGATGCCATTCATAGAGTCTTGGGGGCCTCTGACATTTGACTTTTTTGCCCTGTGAGCCAAGAACAGCTTTGGCCCTCAGGTTTTGGGTTGCTCTACGAAGCCCGGTGCATTGGGGCTTCGTTTTCTCTCCGGAAGCCCCGGAGAAGTAAATGTCAAAACCGTTTGAACAGGGACTTGAATCGAACCCCCGAGGCAGGACATGACAAAACCCTAAAAGGACACCAACCGCTTGGGAGGTTCATTTGGTTATTTGGTTGGGGGATGCTGCAAAAAGTGAGGAAAATTCTTGGGGATGCTTTAGGAAGCGAAAGGACCATAGGGGTCCTTTTTCGGTAAGCTTGAGTAGAATAGATGGGTTCAGATTGGTTTTATTCCATTCATCAGGGCCATGTTTTTTTTTCCCAAAGGATACCTATGCAAAGGGCGAGCATCAATTGGTCCCCCCCCCCCCCCATCCCCCCCCCACCCCACCCCACCCCCCTCCGCATCCCCCCCCCCCACTTCCCCCCCCCCACTTTCCCCCCCACCCCCTCCCCCCCGCCCCCGGCCCCCCTCCAGACCGTCTGCCCACCTTGCCCCGGCTCGCCTCACCCCTCGTTTGCGTAGGACACGGTGCTGCAGCTGGAAAAGCTCGGCCGGACGTTGGAGGAGACGAAGCGGGTGGAAGCCTACGAGACTTTGTTCCCGGATCCCTTCGCGTGAGAAAAAACACACATGTGGCTGTGGGTCAAAACCAATGGCAAAAACCACGTTGTTGTGAAAACTTTGGATCCCATTTTGGTTGGTAGGTGAATTCACCACCCATTTTAGAACCTATGGTTGGATTGGGATGTTCACTGGGGGTACGGGGATTTGACCCATGGCCACATGGTCTCTGCACCCAGCTACCCAAGAAACTGCCGTCCCAAAGATTTCCTCAAAGATAAAACAGCGACCTGAAGGAAGCAACTCTGTGGCAAATCCTGCAAAGAAGGAAGCAATTCAATGGAGATTGGAGTCCGTGATCTATCCAATCCCAAGAACCAATTCCAACCACCAACCGTCCAACCACCAACCCCAACAACGATTACCAGTCCCTTTGTCTTTTCGGAGGTGAGAATCGGTGATCCAACCAGGGGAGGTCTCCTATCGACTAGATCCCACGAGATCACAAGAACCATTCTCCACAGATTTGTTCGTGTTTAGAGTCGGTACCCTTTCGGCTGTCAAGAGAAGCCAGCATGAAACCCGAATTTGGTGAAGGATCCCGCTATTCTTGCTGCAGGGAATGACTGTCGGGAATGAACCTGGAGATTCCCTGAAAGGAAGCCCTACTGTGGATGGACGAACTCCTGCACCACCAAGGAAACCCTGGAATTATGATTCCCCAACGTAAATACCAACGTTTCAAAGTGGTGCGAAATGGATTTTGTCCATCCGCAGTAGGGGATGGACAGGGGTCATTCCCTTCATTCCCTGCCTCTCGAAGCAGCAAGTATTGCGATACCCTACCCATGATGGGGGCTGGGAAGGAGGGAGGGGGAAGCTCAATAGCCCCAAATAAGGCATTTTTGGGGCTTTTTTGGGCTCCCTCCCTCCCCTCCCTCCCCCCAACCCCCATGAACCCATGTCCACATCAGGCGCTGTCCAAAAGCCAGTCCTTGGGTGCTGGAAAAAGGAGGTTCGTTTCGCCGCGCTTCGCCGCGCGAACGGGTGGCTCGTCTTTGTTTCAGAAGGGGTACCCCTTTTGGTGGCTTCAAAGGGAAGCTAGCAGGAACACCACATGTTCTTGGGTTTATCCTGGTTTTCAAGGGAAATTGAGAGGACAACCACCAGCTCTTTTGGGGAGGGCCCAAAAAGAAGAGACACCCGAATTGCCAAAAGGCCGGGGGCACGGGCTGTGAATCGATCAGCTTGCGATACCTGCATCGGCGGGAGCAAAAAGGAAGGGGTGATGCAGGGTGGCTGGCATCCAGAGCGGGATTCAAGAACCTTTCGTGGGGCCCCGTTTATCACACACACACATATATATATATATATACATATGTATACACATATACGCACATATGTATATATATATATATACATACACATGCTGTACACATATGTGTAATATATATATATATATACCTGTGCCTTTAAGGGAGTCCTTCTCACCTGGCCAGGCTAGTGGCGACCCTGCAGAGCGTCAAAGTCACGTACATTGCGGCGGGCGAGGCCAAGCTCGGCATGTCTTGGTTGTCTTTTGGCTTTCAATAGGGCTACAGTGCCGCAGTTCCCAACCCTCTGATGCACAAAGCCATTGCCACCCTCCAACATAACTTTTGAGCATACCCCAAGCTTGCCATGAAGATTCCTTTCAAAACGGTATGTTGGAGGGTTTCTTGGAACAGCAAGCCATTGCAGCCTAGTGACCACAGGCGACCGGAGTGGTCAGGTCATGTGGGGCCGCCTTTTTTGAGGGCACACTCCACAATGGGTTTTCCTCTCGGGTTTCTTTAGAAAAGCCAAGCATGGGATTCGACTCCAACCCCGCTCGCCCCATCTACAGCACATGCACGTCGTTGGTTTAGGGCTGGTTTAGGGCTGGTTTAGGGTTGGTCGTCGCACGCGGGCCGCGTCGCCTCCAGTCGCACACCGCAGCGGTGGACCAGCTGGGCGGACTCTACACATGGGGCCAGGGTTCCTTCGGGCCCCTTGGCATCGGGAGGATTTTCGCCAGGGTTGTGGAATCAAGGGGTTTATGCAACCACTTCTGTGATACACGGGAATCTCCCCCTTATGGGGTGTTAGTCTTTGGGAAGCCCTTTTTGTTGTATGACAGAAGTGGTCATTGCCCACAACCCTGTTCGTGGCCAAAGCAACCGCGACTCGCCCTTTTGTTGCTCCGGTGTAGGGCGATCCTTTTTTCGGGAGGACGTTGCTCCGTTTCTCTCCAAGCTTGCGGTTTTTGGTTTTTCTCGTGGAGCAGCTTTTGGCATTGAAGTGGGGCTAAAAGCAACCCGCAAGATCCTTACCTTGGGATACGAAAAGATCCGGTGCACAATAGCTTCCATTCGCTGAAAGGAATCTTGTTTCTTTTTCTTCCCCTTGTTGGTCTTAAAGGGCATCTATCATTTCTGGATGCTTAAAAAAACCCAAATCCAGGGGACGAAAAAGCCAACCAAGGGAGTTTCGGCTTGGCCCAAGCTCAGCGCCGCCAAAGCGACCGGGCGGGTGGGGGTGGAGATTTCCTGAGGCGCTGCGGCCACGGCGTGGCCACGGATATGCCGACCCCCGCCAGCCAAGGCCTCAGGCTTTGACTCAGCTTCGGCACGACTGGGGGGCGGTGGGCGGTTTTGGTGCCAGTGTGTCTCGTTTTTTTTTTTTTTTAAGGCTCCCTTCCCCCGAAATAAAAAGCACAGAGGTGGTGTTCCTCTTGGTTTTTCCCTTGAAAGCACGGAACAAATTATGACAAGGAGGTGCCAACTCAAAAAGGGCGAGCCATCCATTTGGATCGGCGGCTCTTGACACCGTCGCCGAAAATCCGAGCCGACGAGCTGAGGAGTGGAAAGCCTTTCGGGCCTGTCCATGTCGCAGGCAGCGTCTAGCTGGTGGTTGGCTTTGGGAGCTGTTGGACTGGGTAGAGGGAGCTACCAGGAGTGTAAGGACATGGCGGTGTTTTTCTGAATTTGGGGAAAACAAGTAATTAAGTCACCAAATGGGCTCGCCCCAAAAAAAATCGACTCCACACAACTTGGAGTTCTGCCAGGTGGCGCTGGGATTGATGCACTCGGTGACCAAGCCGCGGGCTTTGGACAAACGCGGCGGGGTTTGGCAGCAAACGTCTCTTGGAACCTGACGTTTTGGGCTGGCCCGGTTTGTTTCGGAACGTTTGGCCTGGGCCAAACCACTTTTGATCCATCCACAAGACTGGCTTTGGGGCCCTCCGATTGGGAAGGCGCGTGCCGGGATCTTTGGGGCCCTCGGATTCTGGTGGGTCCGATCCGAGGTCTGTGAAGGGCCAGCTGTACACCTGGGGCAAGGGGCCCGCCACCGGCTTCGACGGCCAGGATGTGATCACCACGCCACGGCAGGCAGGGGGGGATGGGGGGCTCGGGCCAGGTAGTTGCTTTTGGGGGTCAAAAGCCCACCATCTCCAACCTTACCTTCACCCTGGAGTTTGGGAGGTTCTCCAGTAATTTCCTTTAGAACCACCCAGAAAAGGGGGGCACCAAGTCAAAAACACGACTGGTTCTCCAGTAGTTGTCCTTCAGAGCCACCCAGCAAACGACGCGCCGCCCATCTCCCGAGCGAGGTGAAGTTGGAGTCCCGCGATCCTGTCCATCAGATCGCCGCGGGGCCGTTACACACCGCCGCTGGGCCGCATGCCGATGCCGTTCGCTTTTTGCGTACTGACTCGGAAACTCACGGGACAAAGACACATTTTACGTAGGTCCCCCAAAGGAGATGCCAAAACCAGGAGGCAGCAACAAGAAGCCCACTTGAAAGCCCAAATCCTGATTCGGTCCATAGTCGTGGTTGCAAAAGGTGAACCGTTGATTTCCAGCTGCTTTGTGCAAGTGCTAAAGGATTGTCTTCGTTTTTTGGAGTGTGGGGGTTGGGGGGGAGGGGAGGGGCGGGTTGCGGGTTGCCGTGTATTCCTCCGCAGGCGCAGGTGGGACGCTCGCTGAGTCGCTGAGTCGTGAGGTGGATGGACGAAATCCATTTCGCAGCACTTTGAAACCATGGTTGAAACCATAACGTTTGTTGGTATGTACGTTGGGGAATCGAATCATTCTAGGCTTTCTGAAGGGTGGTGCGAAATGGATGTCGCAACCATCCACAGTGAGGTGGTGCTGATGCAGAACGGCGGCATCATCTACTTCGGCTCCGGTACCGAGGGCCGCCTGCCTTACAGGCGCCTTCGGCGAAAGCCTCCGCAGGTCAAAGCGGTGAAAGGGTTACGAAAGACACGGGTTCACGAATTCTGTTTCTCTTTGGTGTGAAAGATCACCTTCTGTAAGTTCAAGTGGGCTTGCTTTGTGATGTTCCCAGGTTGGCAAATCAATGAGGTTTCTGACACCAAAATGAAACAGGCAGGGGGGGAAAAAACCCAGACACCGGGTGCTTGGACGCCAGGGGCGCCTTCCTTTTTTTTGGCCGTGCTTTTTCCTCGGGCCAATCCTGAACTTACAACCCAAACTCACTTCCTGAGTTCATGAACCTTAAACTTTTTTGGGAGGACCATTTTAGTGGCACAGACAAAGTTTGGTTACTTTTCTGGGGCCATCCACTCAGCCAGCGAGCGTTTCAAACCAGCCCTAAGCCAAGCCCAAAGCCCAGCCCTAAGCGCCAGGAACATCCTGGACGGCAGCTTCGAGGACGTCGGCCTGCCGACGCCGCTGAAGCCCCCGGACATGAAGATCAAGGCGCGGATTCGGATGGCGCGCGGATTCGGCGTGGCACCAGCGGCGGCTGCCTGGGTGGATTTTTGGACTGAGGGGGGGCCAACTCGAGGAATTTCCCTTTGATTGATGGCGTCAAGCCTTATTTTCCGGCCAGCTTGTTTTTTTCTGTAACGTTTGAGGGGCTAGTAACCCCTAAAAATTGGTGGTGTGGATTTGTGGTTTGGATTTGGGCGTTTCTTTTTTGAGGGTGGGTTTTGAAGGGAAACCAGGAAGCCCCTCCCATTTTGGGTGCGCCATGCCCATTTGGGTTTGAACCCTTATGAGAAAGCCATCAGTTGGGCAGCAGACCAAACTTTGAGGTTCCTTGGGGCGTGCCCCGGGCCAAACGGGTGATGCACCTCAAACAAAAACGGGGAAGGTTGCACGGGGAATCCATGTAGTCGCGCTCGCCGTTTTTGACGCGCCGAGGGGAACTCGAAGAAGAGTTTGCCGGAAACACTTGTTGCAGGAGCCATTGTGCAGCACCCTTGTGGGTCTGGGAGTTTCCAACATTGGTTGGTTCAGGGTTCGCCCCCGTATTAATCAAGTCTGCCAGGTGTTTCCCCTCAAAGTTTCTTGGAACAAGTTTGAGACGTTCAAGACATGTCACGGGTGTTTCACCAGCTGAGACACTTGCGCTTGGATGGTTTGACTATGTTGGGCTGCGCATGGAAAACGGTCAGATTCGGTGTTTAGAGACCCGGGGCAGGGAGAACAGAGTCGGGATCGCCGGGAAAGCAACTCACAAAATGCAACGTTGCTTCGGTTTGCCTCGTTCTCAAAGTTGGAAAGTGGGCATGGAAGACACTCCACCCAAAAGAAAGAGCAAAGGCCCAGCCTTCTGGGGGTAAATCCCGCTAGATCCGGAAGGCAGGGCAACCCCCTGCTCCGGATCGCTCCCTGCGAGAACCTTCTCTCCGTGCGCAGGGCTGGGCGGAGAAGCGGGTGCAAGCGGCACAGAAGGAGAGCGGCAAAGAGAGCTATTGGCCATCCAGGTGCCTTTCGGATCTCGGGGGGTGGGGGCTTTCCGCAGACCAGTCTTCCAGACGCCCCCAAACAGCCGAAAAAAGCACATTTTTCGAGGCGCCAAAAAAGGCGGACGGGCCCGAAGGAGAAGAATCCCCGGTCACGGGCTTGCATGGAAAAGCTTCGAAGATGTGCGGATGGGTTGCTCTAGTCGAACCTGCTGGTGGCCGATCGACACCTCACTTCTTCCCTGAAAACGGCCCCTTTTGGGACTGGTGGATCAATTTTTCGCGGCCTCAGCGAAAAGAGGAGCTTGTCTCATCTTCGACATCCGCTTCCCTTTTTCGGTTTCTTTCTCGGCCAATCAATCATTTCCGCCAGCGCTTTTAATGTCTACCGGAAAAAATAATGTGGGAAGCAAAGGCGCAGCATCGAATTCTCTCCGAGAGATGTGAATGGAATGGAGCGGAACACACGCACAGAGTGATGACCCTCATTGACCCCAAGGTTGGCCTCCGGAGTCTCCAAAAGCTCTTCAAACGGGCCAGGCAAAAAAGGCTTGGAGGAGGTCGTGAGAAACCCTTATTGTTTTGGATCGGGGTCCCACTCTGCCGGATAAACGTAAAGTTCATCACTTTGCAGGGACCACCTCCCCCCCCCCAAAAAAAGAGACTGCTTAGATCCGGGGTCAACAAGAAGCAGAAAGGGTTTGCTCAGTTTATAAGTTTCCCGAAGCGTCGAAAGGTTCTCGTTTGCTATCACGGCTTCTGAACGGCCTTTGTTAACCAGAATGCGCCTCATGCCCACTGTGAATGGAGCCAGGTTCAGACTGGAGAGCGCCCGGCTGCGATTCCTCAGGGTTTTGGTTCCCTTTATTTTTTCTTTTTCGCACCCCTGCAGGTGGGGGGCGGCGGGGGCGGGGCAACGGGCAACAAGACAGCCGCCCATTTTAAAGGGCAGCTCCTCGCCTTTCAAATCCGGAGGTTGTGCTGCGGCAGCAGCAGCTCTGCAGTGCTAACAGGCCAACTCGGCTGGTGGGGAGAGCTGCGGAGCAGGGCGGTTGCGCGAGACTCACCAGGTAGACTTACAGCTCCAATCGCTTCCAATTCCTTATTCCTTTTTGGCACATCAACCAGGGTTACCACGCTCCAGCACTACACGGACCTAGGAAATGGTCGGTGTTTCTGCCCCTCAGTTCGGCACAGCCGCCGAAAAAGACATACATGTTCCCCTACAAACCAGTCGAACTGGAGCCGTCGAATTGCAGGCCCTCGTTTTCACACCTTTTGATCGATCGCTCGCAGTCGTTTCCAAGGCTCAAGCTCCAAAGGAGCTGCAGCATGGAACTCAAAAGTCCAGTCCGCGCCGGAACCAAAACGACAGCTTCTCACCCACACCAAACGAAAAATGCACTTCCGGTGCTCCAACCTTTGAGACGGGATAATCAGTTACCCCCGGTAGAAGTTTCGAATCGCCGGCTCTCTCGTCTTCAAAAGCGAATCGCATGCTTTCAGTGGGCCGGCAGTTCAGTCCGGACTTGCCGCGCCGCTTGACCGGAAGCAGCGCGAGCTTCGTTTTTCTGCGAGTCAGCGTAGGTCCGTGTCACAAAGAGATACCCGCTTTTCGTCTGGGGGTAGTGGTTCAGCTTCCTTACAACTAGTGGTTGTGATTGATGGCTTGGTGGTTCGGGCTGGTTTCCCATTTCCCCACGACTCTGCAAGAGCCAGAGGGTCAAATCCCCAGACCGCCAATCCAACAATCATAGAGACCTTCGGCATCACAAAAAAGCAAGTTTCTGACACGAGAACACGGGTAACTTCTCACTGCATGCCTTGTTTTGCCTGTCGCTTCCCATTGAGGTTAGTTCATGGGCAGCTGTGTCGAAGACATTTGCTGCCTGAGACGGGAGTGCGATGGCTACTTTGCTGCACTAAATCTTGCAGGGGTGTTCCTCGAGCCATGGCAGTACACCTGTGCGGGCAGATGGCTGGGAATACACATGCCAACATGCAGCATGCAGTTGGTGGAGGTTGTGTGCTTGAATTCCTGTTCAGGCAGGAAGGAAGAAACTGCCAACTCTGATTCCAAGCTTTGCAGCAGAGGCTTTCCTGGTCTTGCGAATCCTGCTGGTGCTGCTTCAGTCGCCGCCTCGGCAGTCAGACTTGCATAGGCGTATAGTGTTTAGGGGGGTGGTCCCGCTTAAGCATGGCCCAACTGCTTGCTGAGCCTTTGTCACCCTCACCCTCACACCAGCAAAGACGCCCGCTTGGGAAAGACAAAGCAGACCATTTCGTGAGGGAGGGGTGGCAGGGGGTGACAGGGGGTGGGGGTGGTGTGTTTAGGGGGGTCCCAGGAAAAAAATCTGTGATCATGAAGGCTTAAGGATATCTTGGGTCGCAGAACCCCGGCATGTCGACCCACCGAGGTGTCGACTAGCGCTACCACAAGCTCTTTCCATGGTCATCGAGGGCGACACTTATGTTGATATTTATCACAACGGGCCGCTCGACCCGGCTAAGCGCTGGCTGGACCAATTACGAGGGAGCATGCGTCCAACCTGGTTGGTTTCATGCCGTTTGTTTTAAGCCTGCCCCAACACTGGCGCCTAGTTCAGGCTCTGGCTTTGCATATTCACTTGTTGATTTGTACTTGTTTTCTTCCTGTGTTTTTCTCTTGTTGCAGCTTGCTTCTAGTATGCATCGCTTCTTTCGAGGGTCAACCTTGATTGGACGGAAACAAATCACAAAATCGAGGAGGTCAATTAGCACTTGACAATTTGGCCGGACGGCAACTCAAAAAGGATTCTGCCTCCAAACCTTACGTGAGCCGTGGATCACATCGGCCGCATTTTGGGGATTCGGGGTAGGCTCCAGAAAGAAAGAAAGACCCTTGATTTTCATCAACCCCACTTTGTATTGAGGGGCGCCTTTTTTGGTGGTCGGAATCCATTGTTTTGAGGGGAGCCCTGATGGATGACTGGGTTGCGCACGCAGTCAGAGGAGTAGCGGGTCTCCTTCGCACAACCGCAAGCATAGACTCGCAGAAACCACCGGATTCCTGAAACGATGCATTTTGGCCACACGGTTTTGCAATTCTTTCTACTCTTAGTCCTATTCAAGAAGCAGTTATTCCGAATTTATTCCCTTTTTAGCGGTTAGATCATTAAACCACAGTGTTTGAAAGGGTTTCTGCATGTACCAGGTACTTTTCAGGTGTATTGTTGGTGGTTGTAAACTCACCTTTTTGGCCCATTGGTGAGTTTTCTTGGTATAGGGTGATCTTTTGCAGGGGAAACACTCATAGGTTAGTTAACCTCCCTCAAATGTGATTTTGAGTGGCATCGGATCCAAAAATGAAGAAACATGTTCATTTTGAATCTTGGGCTTAGTAGGGCTTAGTAGGGCTTAGTAGGCTTTAGTAAGGCTTAGTAAGGCTCAACCATTTTTTTGCTTCGAGTGCAAGCAAGGCTCAGCAGCTCTCAGTAAGACATGGCCACAACTCAAAATTGATCATGAGTGCTACTGAGTCTTGCTGAGTAGTTGGAACCGTAATGATTCCTATGTGTGCTGTCATTTCCTTAGCGGTCATTTGTGCTGCAACTGCGCCGCGCACTGAACACCTGGGAATTGAACATCAGCGGATGTAGGCCTAGTAGCACTCAAAGGCACTCAATGGCAATCAGCAAGCGCTCACTCAGTAGCAGACAAGAGGCACTCAGCAGCACTCAGCAGCACTCACCAGCACTCAGCAACACTCAGTAACACTCAGTAACACTCAGTAACACTCAGTACTACTCAGTAACACTCAGTAACACTCAGAAACACTCAGTAACACTCAGTAACACTCAGTAACACTCAGTAACACTCAGTAACACTCAGTAACACTCAGTAACACTCAGTAACACTCAGTAATACTCAGTAACACTCAGTAACACTGAGTAATACTCAGTAACACTCAGTAGCACTCAGTAACACTCAGTAGCACTCAGTAACACTCAGTAACACTCAGTAATACTCAGTAACACTCAGTAACACTCAGTAATACTCAGTAACACTCAGTAGCACTCAGGAACACTCAGTAACATTCAAGAACACTCAGCAACACTCAGTAATACTCAGTAACACTCAGTAACACTTAGTTTGACTGAGTATCACTCAGTAGCACTCAGGAACACTCAGACTCAGTAAGACTCAGTAACACTCAGTAACACTCAATAACACTGAGTAACACTCAGTAACACTTAGTTTCACTCAGTAACACTTAGTTTCACTCAGTAACACTTAGTTTCACTCAGTAACACTCAGGAATACTCAGTAACACTCAGGAACACTCAGTAACACTCAGTAACACTCAGTAACACTCAGTAACACTCAGTACTCAGTAGCACTCAATCACAAGCTAAAACAGCACGTTTTTGGAATCCCGGCTCAGTATGCACACTCAGTAGAGGACCTCTCAACCACCCCTCAAGAACACAGCACATGGGCGACCCAGGCTCATCAAGTGCTTAGTAGCACGCAATGACGCTTCGAGCCCCGGGCAAGCTTCAACAAATCTGCTATGCAAAATTGAAGCAACCCCCCCCCCCCCCACACATGCCAAATCCTTGCCGGGCTCAGTAGTGCTCAGCAACACTTGGTGAGTCTTACTGAGATTTTGACATTTGGGAGGGGGGCGTACGGGGGGGGTTAACTAACCTATGAAAAATCTGACTGACTTGTCCAAAAGCAAGCGTTCAAACTTTTGAACTCTGACCCTCCCACCCACAAGCATGGAATCTTACGATGGGACCAACCGCTGTTCGAACCTTGGGATTTGAACCATCTCGGTATGTGTCAATGTGTCGACACCAAGCCAACTTGTGGATCCGGATGCATCCCGACAACCCTCAGGGACGTGTAGGGGACGAAAAAATGGTGGTCAAAAGGAGAGAACCAAAAGGTCGGATCAGGTCGACTCGCATACAACTGATTAAGTAAAGGCCGACGATTGTTGGAACTTGGCGGTGCATTGGCATTCTTCTTCGGGGGAGTTCCCAAGTTCCCGAGTTCCCCCCGTTTCCGGAGCCTCGGGAGTCTTAGTTTTTGTTTATGGGTTTTTTGAGGGTTCCTTAGAGGTTTCTAGCCTTACAGAAGCCCCTTTTCTTGGACCCCTACAATTCCTATTCTTGAGCCCCCCCCCTCCCAGCCCCCCTCCCACTCCCCACGGATCACTCCGCAGCCCCAGGGTCTTCGTGGCCTCGGACATCTCAGCCACCCAGATCCCGCTGAACGGCGTGCGGCGGACGCTAGCGGAGGGCGCCGATGCCAAGGCGCCAGCAAGCGCACGTGCGCGCGAGCGAGCCCCGAGCGAGCAGAGAGACGTGTGGACCCCCCGAGTTTTGTTCTCCGGGCCCGGATGGCTCGTGGGGTTCTCTGGTGTTTGGTGTTGTTGCGCGGTGGTTTGGTCGTGTTTTTTTTGTTGGGGGGGGGGGTCGGTTTGTGGTGGTTTGGTGTTTTTGGTTTTGTTTGTGGTTGTTTCTTTTCACCCACTGGTAGAGACGGCTATGTAAACCATACTGGCGAGGCGCGGGCTCGAATCAATGACGCCCAATGTGCTTCCAGTTAGCTGAAATTAATTTCTTCCCCTTGGTTTCAAAGGGAGCCGATGTCCATTCAAGGGGGCTTCGGAGCGTGGAGCTTGGAGCATTAGGGATAACCCAAAATGGTTTGCGCCATTGGAAACAAAGCAGACGTGCACCTCCAAGAGAAGGGATGAGGTGTGCCGAAAACTGTATGCCAGGCACCGCTTTGGATTGGCGGTTTGGAGTGGTGGTTTGCTCCTTAAAAGATCTCCATGTTGCAACCATTTGAAACATGTTGCTTTTTCAACACCCACATAAAGGGAAACCACCATTCACAAGTTGCAATGTTCAGGTGAATAATGCATCCGGATCCCTGTTTGGAGTGGCGGTTTGGGTTTGGATTTGAACCCCTGGTTAGGTTGTAGAGAAATGGGGTTAGCCGAGCCCGTATTCCAACTGGACCAACTGGCGAAGCTGACGCTGGTTTTCAGGGGCTTGTCGCCCTTGTTGGGTCGCTTTTTTTGGGTGGACCACCTGAAAGGAGGTAGTGGTTTTGTGTTAGGTCTGGTTTTTTATTAGGTCTGGTGATGGGTTGGTTGGTTGGTTGGTTGGTTGGTTGGTACCTGAAAGGCCTCCGCAAAACCATGTCTCTTGTAGGCGTCAACCAAATTTGAAGATTAGTTCAATCCCCCCTTTCCCCTCCACCCCCCCCCCCCCTCCGACTCCACCCCAGTTTGTGGTAATATGTCCCCGCACTTTTCTCATGCGGAGAAAGGACCGCGAGACGTCGGTCCTTCCTTGCCGTGGGCCGATCGAAACGGGAACCCATTTTTTGTGCCAGGGCCAAATGATTTTGATCGGAACCATGGCCTTAGGCCAAGTTTAGGACTTTAGATCAACCCGTTTTGGGGGTTGCACCAATTTTTTGAAACAACCGCAGCCAGGATCCAATTTTTTGGTGCCAGGAAGAAACGACCGGAACCATGGCCTTAGGCGAGTTGTAGGAGTTTCAACCCGGTTTTGGGGTTACTCGATGCTTTGACCGCCAGGTGGTGGTTTTCCCACTGGGTCTTGAGCAAGGCGACCTGGTGAGCCTTCGCGTGCTCACCTCCAGGCCGGTGTCAATCGGGTTGGAAGAAATGGCCCCTTTTGGTGGGAGCCAACCCCCCCCCTTGTTCACGGCAGCTTTTTTTTTTTTTTTTTGGGGGGGGGGGCAAAGCCTGAGATCTGAGATCAGTACTGGATGCCCAAGGCAGAAATGGCAGCCCAATCTGAGCTAGGGCTGAAGGGCCCAGGCAAGAGCCTTGCGGGTCACGAGAGGAATGGGTCGGGACAAGGGGGCGCCAGTCGGCAAGGGGCACTTTTTTTCAAAGTCTTGGACCTTGAGGCTAGACCTCAGGTCAGACCACCAGTTGGAAGTGGTACCAGGGATTCCACCCCTTGAGGGTAAATGGGGTTGGACCCGGCTTCTTGCCTTCGAATCCTTCACATGCCCGAAGAATATCAAATGCACGGCTCTCTTTTTTCACGGCCTCATTAGTTGCCCAAAGCGAATCGACCTTTTGACCCTTTTGGATTCATCCATGTTAAACCCAATTTGACTTGCCCCCATGTCGTTCTTTCCCCAATTTTGGTGTCCATGTTTAGTCACGGCTCCGACAGGTCAACCTTCTACAGGGGTCACTGGAATTCCCTTCAACAGTGCAGTATACTAGTGGTTTCCATTGAGCCCATCGCCACGTTTGGAGGTTCCAGGCAGGGGAATGGAGGAATTTACCCTGAGTTTAGCGAAGTTTTGTGGTTGAACCTTCTGATCTACCATGCCTAGGCTCCCCAGTAGTGCCCTTTTGCCCACCTTTTTTGGGGAGGGTTCCCCTAAATAGACAAAACCGAAAAAAGCTGGTACCAACTTATTACTTATTCTAACCTCTCAAATCTGGAGGACCTAGATACTTCCCCAGAATTAGCTCCCCTTTTTTTTTTGGTCCCTTGGTTTTCCACCAACCAGGCAAAGAAGAGATATATATATATATACCTTTTTGCTGGGGTCCCCTTTTTCCAGCCTAGGATCCCGTGGGTTTTACTTCTAAACCCGGGCCTTCGCCGGCGCCGGAGCCGGGGCCCCCCTCAGGGCGGCGGCGGTGAATGTCACCGATGCCTTGGGCCGCACTTCGGAGTACCCGGCGCCGGCCGGGGTCATCTTAGCCGACCAGAACGGGATGATGCCCGGCGTATTGTTTTTGCGTACGCCGTTGGAACCGGCGCTGGAGTTTTGAGCCGTTTTTGACACTTTTGCATGAATCACTTGGTTTTTCCTTGCATTTCAGCGTGGGGGGGGGGTTGGGGGGGGGGGTTCGGGGGGGGGGGCTGATAAGCATCCATGTCTGGTAAGCATCCATGTCTGGTAAGCGTTCACTGCTTTGATCCGGGCTCAGAGTCTTAAGCAGGCTGTCGAATTTTCCAGGTTTTCCATGGAAGTGCCATGCACGCCGCAGAAGCGCGATGGTGCTCGCAGCTGGCGCAGTGCATGTGAAGACGCAGGTCTTGAGTTCTTCCAGGTTCGACATTGCCTTATGGAGTTCAGCTGCCATTTCTGCACGGGAGGCCGCACAAAAGTCGCTGGAACGCAGGCTCTGGACTCATGCTGGCGTCGATTAAAAGAATACTTGCCGCGAGAAGTTCAGGCAAAACATGTGGGAAGCAAGCTGGTGAATCCAGCTCTTCATGAATACGTTTTTTCATGGCAATGGCGCATGAACGCAGGCAAGGATCTGTGGGCTGCGTTGCCATCTTTAAACCCTTAGAAAGCATGAACAAAAGCGCCGCCCTCAGTGCTGGGGAGGGTTTGTTTCTAGGCCGCCGCTTGAATCTGCCTTGATGTTTTTTGCACTTACACATTCTTTCAGAACGTGCCAAAAACCTCAACGTGCCAAAAACCTCAACGCCGGTTCGCGCGGCGAAGCCTTGTTTTTCTCATTTTTCCTTTTTTTCTTGTACATTTTTTTGAGTCACGCCCGGGTCACCGGGCGGTGGGTGCTGCGACAAAGGTGGAGACACGAAAAGTTTCCCGACAACAGGGGAATCTCTTAGTTGTTTTTCTCCCACATGCATTGAGTGAACAGAATCGACCGCGGGCCGCGGCGACAAAATGACCGCTCGCAAGCGGCAGTGGCGTTTCAGACTGCACGTCCGAGCACCAGGCTCAGCATGTTCATGTCCCGTGCTATGTCAGCTATTGGGTAGTACAGGGGGCACGCCCGGATCTAAATCAAGCACTGGTTTCTCCATGCGCCAGCAAAAGTTATAAGTATGTGCATGTAAAGATGGCCAAGCTGAGCAACTTGTTGCTTTACGGTAGCACTGGTAGGTCCTGGTAGGTGCTTCAAGCATGATTGACTGGCAGAGGAGGCCGTGCTGCATACCTTTTTGTGCATGGGGCATAGCCACATCACAGCTTAAAGTTCTTTTCCAAACGGCGCGAGGGAGATGCTCGGCTGCTCTAAGGATGTCATCTTCAGAATGGAAGTGCAGCACCCAAGAGAAAGCGGATGACAACGAGAGAACTCCGTTCTTCTACCCAGCTCCTCGCCTGCAAACAACGTAACCTTGCACTGACCATTGCTTCCTAGTTGCGATTCACTTGCACTTGCACTTGCTGGTTTGCTTTCTTGCTTGCATGTTTGTTTGCCTGCTTGCTAGTTTGGTTAGTGTTCTTACTTGCTCGTTTGGTTTGTTAGTTAGTTACCTTGCTTTCTTTCTTGCTTGTTTGCTTGCTGCCTTGCTTGCTTGGTAAGCTGCTTTGTTTGTTTGTTTGTTTGTTTGTTTGTTTGTTTGTCTGTTTTTGTTTGTTTGTTTGTTTGTTTGTTTTCCCGAAAGCATGGCGAAGGGTTCTTCCACTGGGTTCACTTGAGTTGTTCTCATGAGAGTCATTACAAGGTGTCATTGCAAGGAATCATCATCATGAAAGTCATTGCAAGGAGTCATGGCAAGGAGTCATCGCAAGGAGTCATTGCAAGGAGTCATGGCAAGGAGTCATCGCGCGGAGTCAGCGGCATGAGTCACGGCAGTATCACGTGCTGACACTGTTGTCAATGTAGCGAGCCACAGCGTATCGTAAGAGTCATATACGATTTGTAAATTCAGACTGACTCTAATCGCACTCAAGACTTGATTCCTTGCATTTCCAAATTTAATTGATCATTTAATTTGCAAATTTGAAAATTGATTCCATTTAATTTGGCTCCTTGCACTTGGCTACTTGCACTTGGCCCCTTGCACTTGCAACTTGCACTTAACCCCGTGCACTTGCGACTTGCACTTGACTCCATGCACTTGGCTCCTTGCAACTTGCAATGGCTCTCATGACTCCTTGCAAAGACTCCCAATGATCAAAGTTGAAACATTCCTTGCCATGACTCGCAAATGACTTGCAGCGACCTTGCTACGACCTTAACATGACTTTGAAACAAGCAAACCGTCAAGCGTGTTGCAGCGTAAGGAGTCAGCGGTAACGATCTGCGGATATTGAAAAACTTCTTAGGGCGGCGGGGTAGTGCCGACGACACTACACGAAAATCGACCTTCTGCGGGGATCGGCGTGGTCGAGGTGCAAAAACCCATGGCTTTTTGCGATTTCTAAAGTTCCCGCGCGACCCTCTGCGGGGATCGGCGTGGTCGAGGTGCAAAAACTCGAGGTTTTTTGCGATGTTTAACCTGCTCGCGCGACCCTCTGCGGTCGAGGTGCAAAAACCCATGGTTTTTTGCGATTTCTGCGGTGCTCGCGCAACCCTCTGCGGGGATCGGCGTGGTCGAGGTGCAAAAACTCGAGGTTTTTTGCCATGTTTAACCTGCTCGCGCGACCCTCTGCGGGGATCGGCGTGGTCGAGGTGCAAAACTCGAGGTTTTTTGCGATTTCTAAAGTTCCCGCGCGACCCTCTGCGGGAATCGGCGTGGTCGAGGTGCAAAAACCCATGGTTTTTTGCGATGTTTAACCTGCTCGCGCGACCCTCTGCGGGGATCGTGGTCGAGGCGCAAAAACTCGAGGTTTTTTGCGATTTCTGCGGTGCTCGCGCAACCCTCTGCGGGGATCGGCGTGGTCGAGGTGCCAAAACTTGAGGTTTTTTGCGATTTTTGTTGTTCGAACTGGTCCTCGGGAGTTGTCTCGTGGTTCGCGCGCCTGCTCCCGGAACCGGCGGGTCGCGGGTTCGATTCCTCCCTGGTCCGCGGGCGGGCGTCGCAAGATGCAACTTGCATTTTAAAGCAACTTGCGCAGAGCAACTTGCGCAGAGCAAGTTGCACAGAGCAACTTGCGCAGACCAACTTGCACCGACCAGTTTGCGCAGAGCGCCTTGCCTAGAGCAACTTGCGCAGAGCAACTTACGCAGAGCAACTTGCACAGAGCAACTTGCACAGAGCAGCTTGCACAGAGCAACTTGCAGGGAGCGCAATTTGCACAGAGCAACTTGCAGGGAGCCACTTGCAGGGACCAACTTGCCGGAGCAACTTGCGCGGAGCAACTTGCGCAGAGCAACTTGCACAGTGCAACTTGCGTAGAGCAACTTGCGCAGACCAACTTGCACCGACCAGTTTGCGCAGAGCACCTTGCCTGGTGCTGTCTCGCGCTTGCTTCACAAATGCTTCGTGTAGGGAAAAAGAACGCATCCTGCAGCGTTGGGCCGACCTCGCTTGCGATGTTCTGCTTTCGGGCCAACCGTGGTCTAGTGTTTGTTTGTTTGTTTGTTGTTTTTTGTTTGCTTGCATTCTTGCCGGTTTGTTTGGTTTGGTTTGTTTGCTTGTTTGCTTCTTAGTTGGTGAGTTAGTTAGTTAGTTAGTTGGTTAGTTAGTTAGTTAGTTGGTTAGTTTGTTAGTTTGCGCGTTTGTTAGTCTCTTTGACCCTTGTCGCGTTTGTATTCGTTGTCCTTCTTTGTCGGTTGCTGGCCCCCGTTGGCACCCTGGCGAACCCCAGGAGTTCAACGACTCTCACTGGCCATACGCCTATGAGCAGCCGGACGACTGCTGCCCTTGGAGGGACACCAGGGAGATATGGACCAGAAGCCCAGCTCCCAACCAGCTTTTTTGTCCTCCCATTCTTCCAGTCTTCCAGTGGTGTTGTACCTGTTTTGGCGGCGTGAAGCATGTATGTCTGTGTGTGTGGTTGCTTCATGTGAAATGTTGTACCTTTTTTCTCTCTTGAAAAAAGTCCACCGCGAATTGAGACTCGTTTGACCGTGTTTCTACCGAGGTCCCCCAGTAGTACCCTTTTTGGGGGGAGGGTTCCTCTACTAAAATAGACAAAACCGGGAAAACAAAGAAAAGGACAAAACATAAACAACAGAAGCAAACCGGATAAAAAGCATCGGGTACCAACTTATTCTAACCTCTCAAATCTGGAAGCCCCCGAGTTTCCAAGGAGTGAATTCCCAGTGGATCGGGCCCTCTCCGTCCACCTACGCGGGCAACGTGTCTGGGCCGCGGCAGTTCAACTGCCGCTACCGGGTGCCGGGCTACGACACAGCCACCAACCTGCCCTTGGCCGAGAGCCATGGCCGGACGTCAGAAAATTAAAAGGATCATCCCGTGTTGAGAGCATTGCAGGCCAATACGTGGTTTCCTTAGAGATTTTCCGCCACTTTTGGAGGTTACAGGCAGGGGAACGGAGGGTTACCCTTAGTTTACCCTGGTTTTGTGGTTGAACCTTCCTTCTGATCCGCCATGATTTAGTTTGGTTTACTTTGGGGGGATCCTTCTTTGCAGGAAACCATCAAAAACCCAGATTCCCCCTAGCAAAACCTCCGTTTTGAGAGCGACCCCTTTTTTCGGTTGGCTCAACATCGCGAATGTGTTTGTCTATTTTCCCTTCCCGGTTTTGAAGGGAGTCTGTCACTACCCGAAATTTATTTTTTCCGGGGGACTTAAGCAAATCGAAGAAAGGGAATTCAAATGGACTGTCCTGACCGTTTTAGGGAGTCTACAAAAAGACAGAGAGGCTTTTGTGTTTCATTCATTTTGTGCGCTTTTCTTGAGCGTGCCCCCTTTTTTGGTGGTTGGACCCGGAGACCAAAAGAAACATCATTTTGGGAGACCCTTAAAAGAAGGACCCACCTACTTCCCCAAGATATTGCCAAAATTCCCCCCCACGTTTTGACCTAACACATCTTTTCCACCAACCGGCGATCACTTTTTGCCTTGCGTGAGGAACGCGAAGGCTGACGCTTTCGCGCCCGTGGTCAACATCACCGAGGTGGCGTTGTCGATGTCCATTTCCAAGGCGCAGCGGCGGAGCGGCGGAGCGGGAACGGCTCCCCGCAATGGCCCCGGTGGTTGGGCGTGAAGCAATCGGAAGAAGGGCACACTCAAAAAAAGAGCAGTGCTAAGGTTAGGGCGTTTTCGGACTTGGAAAGGTAAATGCGCATGAGAAGTGGTTGGGTTCATTGAAAACCAGCACATTTCGGGGTGTCCCAAGAAAAAAGCTCAGATGGCCTGGACGGATGTCTACTTGCGTTCATGCCGAAAAGCAAGGTGTTTTCCAGCACATCATGCTGGGGTGTTTGTTTCAGTTGCCGCCTCATGTGCCGCAATGATGTGAACTGGTAGCTGCAGTCGCTGGCGTGTGTGGGGAAGAGCTTGTATTGCACTTTTTTTGCTCACCACCCCAAGTATATGGGAAAAAGGGCAAAGTCAAAGCTCCGGCGCGAGACTTCGTTTTTCCAGTTGAGGACTTGCTGGCTCCCAGCCATCCGGTTCCTTCGCCTAGATCTTTTTAGCTAGTTTCTGTTGTAGTTTCCATTTACCCCACTAAAAGCTTGACTGCTATTGGGGTGGATCTTTGGACTTGAAAACTTTTTGGTTGAAATCAAGTTGTGTTTTCCACTAAACCCCCAAAAAGTTGAAAAACTTGTTGCAGGGGGGTCGTTGCAGCAACCAAGAAAGATGAGGCTGACACTTTTCGCGGATCTGAAAACGGGCATTCCAGAGGAGACCACCTGTTGACCATTGCCGTCCTTTTGATCGGTTTGATTAGAAATAGATGGGTTCCACTGGTTCAGATGGGTTGCATGCCCACTTACCAGGGAAATCCATCTATTTTCCAAAAGGGATACCTGCCCTTTTTCGGCCCTCCTTTTCCGCTGCCTGCAGGTGGTCTTCAACGTGGACCGGTTGGCCACCGTCTACTGCGGGGTCATCGACGCGCGGTACCAGCTGAGGCCGCCCACGCACCTGGAGCTTAAGCGCTGGGGCATGGCCATGGCCAACGCCGTGGGGGAGGAGTTCCTCTTCGCGCTCGTGGGCGAGGAGAAGAAGTTCGGAAGGGCCGCGGAGAAGCCGCGCCGGGCGGACGTTGTTTTTTGTTTTTCCCCCCCTTGTTTTTTAACAAGCAATATTTTTGTTTTAATATATTTTGTCGAGCTGATGGGCGGGGAGATATTGTTTGGTGGTCCCGGTGGTGGTTGTTCTTGCTGCAGAGGCTATTGTTGGTGTTGCTGCTGCTTGCTTGTTGTTTTGCGTTTTGTTGTTTTCGGATTGTTTGATTGTTTGATTGCTTGCTTGTTTGTTTAGTTCGTTGGTTGGCTGGTTGGTTGTTATGGTTGTGGTTCTTGTGGTGGTGGTAGTTGCCGCCAGGATCCAAAGGCCCCGGCTTGCGGGGCAGAGCGGCAGACCGGAGCCAGGATGCCCTTCTTGCTTCCTCAAAACACCCCCTTGAAAACATGTCCATGGATCTTGCAAAATAAAGTTGGAAACCACCATTTACAAATTGCAATTTTCATGCATCCGGATCCCTGTTTTAGGGGTTTTCCACTATTTTGTACTTTTTAGTGGAAACACTTTTTTTCTTTCAGGGGTTTTCCACTAAACCCACAAACAGTGAACAACTTGTTGCAGAGGGGTCGTTGAAACCAAGAGCCGTGAGGAGTTCTCCTCCTCGGAGCTGAACGCCACGGTGTTGGCTCGGCTCTCGGTGGAGGACCTGGAGGAGCCTCCGGTATCGTTTTTTGGTTGGGAGGGACACCCCCTACTTCTTTTTTTCTGTTTTTTTTTTTGGGGGGGGCGGGGGGTTGGGAGGGTTCAAACCTACTAAAATAGACAAAGAAGTTGGTACCCTTATTCTCACCTCTCTACTGGAGGGAGGATGTGGCCATGGTGCAAAGCCGTTTTGGGAGCCCATTTTGGGATAGGTGAATTCACCACTCATTTTAGTCGGGATTTAGTGGGGGATTGGGATGTTCACTGGGGGTAACGGGGTTTGACCCATGGCCATGTCTGGGGTCAAAGATGAACAATTGGGACTCGTTTTGGGGAGAAGTGGAATTTTCTTTCCCCCATTTGAGCTCCTTCCAAATGGATTCCAATCCACCGTCCACCAATTTGTTATGTGAATCTTCGTGCCCTTTTTGGAGTTGGCGCTCTTTTCCGGGGTGTTAGGGGAAACCAAAAGAAAAGGACGCCACTTTGTAGGAGGTGCTCCTTGACCTTGATTTCGAGACACGCCCAGATAGGCCCAGATTTGGAAAGGGTACTGTGCCTCAAACAGGCGTGTGAGCCGCGCACAAGTGTCTTGGAGGAACTTTTTGGACGCCGTAGATTTTAACTTTTGACCCTCCTTTGGTCGAAAAAAACCCAGCCCTTAAATGCTAGGGTTGGAACAGTGTTTTTTTGGCAGCGCAAGGGGAATCTCCCCCAGCCCAAACGGAAACCTGCCTTTTACGGCAGATGAAAAACAAAAAGGCGGCCCAGTTAGAAAGAGAAACGGGTTTCATCCATGGCAACTCTGGTGGATTCTTTTTTTTATCCAACAACCCTGTGACGTTGAGACGCCCTTTGTTCGAAGCAAAGAATGGGAAATTCTCGATCCACACTCCTGAGTTGCTAGTTCCCAGCCGTTGCTTTTGGGCTTGGTGAGGGTTTCTGTTAAACTTCTAGCAGGGGATCTGAGCACAGCCCAGCCGACTTTGTATGGACTACGCTTGTGCCAGGCTTCAACGACCTTTGCTTCAGCGGTTGGTAGAGATGGTCATCGACCTCAGGGTTTTTGGCAGCCGACTCACCAAATCTAGGGCAACCACGAAATCTGGGTGCTGAATGGGCCATGAGTCAAATGTACCCATGGCAAAACAGCACGGAAGATGTAGTTTTGATGTTTTTCCAGACCCCCCTCCCCGCGGCCCCTTTTCTAGCACCCATCCTCTTTCTCGTGCTCACACCGGGGGGAAAGCGGTGCTCGCCGCCCTGCGCTCGCCAAGCCCGCCCGCGCCAAGCCGTCCCGCGAAGACATTCCCAGCGCACGCCGAAAGCGGAGGAGTGCGAGCAGCACTGCCTGGCGCGGCCGCTGTGCACGGCGCTGGAGTACTACGTGGCCGGGGTGCACCCGCAGAGCGGCACCAACTGCACCTCGCTGCGGTTGCCCCAGTGGCTGAGGGGAGTCAGGGGCGTGAATTTATGCGAATGATTTGTGATATATGTTTGTGTGGTGGTCTATGGGGGAGCTTGAGTTTGATGGGAATTGATTATTTGTTAGAGGTAAGTTTAAGCGATTGTTGGGGGATACCCTTTGTTTGAGGTCGGACCCCCCAAAATGGTGCGCTCAACACACCCACCTTGTGACATCCTTTGACATCTGTCAGGACCCCGAAACGTTAGGTTGCAGGGCAACGTGGACAGGAGGGTAATCTTTGATTTCTGGCTCAAAACCCCTTCAGCTGAGGCAAGCTCATCGAGGGAGACTTCGATACCGAGGCGGCTTGACTCTGCCGATTTTGTTTTTTACTCTATGGGTGTGGTTTGTGTCTTGATTTAAGAGATACCCCTTTTTGTGGCGGTTGAAAGAGGGACGCCAAATGGAGAACCGAAGGCATTTCGGCATCCCCAATTTTGAATCCCCCCTCGTGCGGACCCGGATCAAACTCGTCCTTTTAGCAGGGGCATGGGGCCCCTCGAGAAGCTCACCCAACTTCTCATTATCCTTAATCCTTCCCTTAGGGGATCCAATTCTTGCTTCAGGGCTTGGTTTCCCTCCCTCCCACCAACACGGTACGAAGGACAGAGGGTTCCTTGCAAAGGAAACCAATCTTCCAGGTACCCTCCCACAGATGCCATGTTCAGGTACATCGTGCAGGAATCGGTGCTTTGGAGGCGTTCCACCAGAGCCAGGGGTGGAACCCCCAAAGCCGCCCCAAACCCAAACCACCAACACCGGGTTGCCTGACTTATGCAAGTGCGCTCTTGCGTTCATGCGGGGCCAGAAGGTTGGTGTTCCCAACAAAATCCACCACCTGAACCCTGTGTTTTTTTGTTCATGCACCGCTGAAAGCTGCAAATGTTACTTTACCCCGCCCAGTTAATCCTTAGTTGTTCAAAGCCGACCTTTTGGTTTTCCCATTTTGGTCCGTATTTAGTCATGGCCCCAAAAGGTGATCACCTTTTAGTTCCAGGTTCTTAGGGCTGAGAATCACCCATTGTTTTAATCATCCGCCTTACTGTTGGCTCCCGAGGGGATTGGATCCCCTGGTCGTTGCCCAATGGCTCCCCGGCCAGTATGGCCATAGCGATGTGTGGTTTTGATATGTTTTGATGATATTTGGGTATGTGAACTGCATGGGCTCCAACTAAATTCTAATCTTTCCTTTGGGTTTGCCCTTTGAACCTAAGAAATAAGAACACCTCAGCACATACAAACCCGCGCGCCCGCCCACCCGCGCACCCACACCATACCGCCTCCAGCGCCCGCCGCGCCCGCCGCGCCTCCGAGAGACTCCGAAAGACTCGGAGACTCGGAGCCTCGGAGTCGAGGACCGGCTGACGGAGTCGCCCATCGCCAGCTTCACCCAGAAGTTTAAGTACCTCTCCAAGCCCCAGCACACCTTGACCATGGGAGGCCGACCACTTCGAAACTTCGAATGGGGTTCGATTGATGAAGCCCGAAACAAATCCGAAATTATCTGACCGGATCTGGTTTTGGTGCCACCAGAAAAAAAAAGGCCATGGTTCGAGGGCCCAAAGCAAATCCGCCAAGAGCTGACTGGAGCTGGCTGGTGCCACCAGCATGTTTTCCGCGTGTTGGGTTCCAAAAAGGTGAGAAAGCCTTTGAGACGTCCAGGTCCAAATTGGGCAAGTGAGAAATGCTTGTCGTTGTTTCTTGAATGTGAAGCCACTAGGAAACCTGACTGCGGGTGACAAACCTGGGGAAGGCCTTTCTTTTGAGAAAGGGAGCCCGGGAAAGACCGGGTGCTTCACCTGCCAAAAAATATCCATGCGCAAACCCTTCCGCAATCCGCAAGGCAGGTCAAGAGCTAGGCACGCATGTGTCGTCCGGCACGTTTCAGGGGTCCCCCGGTCCCGCGAAAAAGAATAGAGCGCGATGGTCAGTTCTGCCGCTCGACAGGCCCGCAAGCTCCTTTTTCTATGTTGATTTTTTTAGACCCCGGGGACGCGAGACGGCGCTTCGGTGTTTTCCCCTGAGGCCGGCTCTTCCCGGGCACCGTGTACAACGTCTTCTGCTCCACCGAGGCCTCGACTCGAAGCGAGTCGCGAGTGCCGCACGAGGTTGTGACTTCCGGATTGGCCCTTGGGCTTGGGTTCCGGAGGTCCCCCAGGAATTGGTGCCCTTTCTCACCCGTTTCTTTTTGGTTGGGAGGGTTCAAACCTACTAGACTGCGGAAAAAAGTTGGCACCCTTATTCTAACCTCTCTACTGGAGGACCTAGGAGCTGTTGGGAACATCATCCGGGGGTCACAAGGTGTTTCTTCGGGCTGGTTCCCTTTAAGCCACCATTCTCGAACGGAACCGCAGGTTAAATGTTTTTTTGCATGTCTCCAGGGCTTTACCCTCCCCCCCTACAAATCAACATGGACCCCCCAAAAAAGGGGAGGTCCTGTTGGCTCTTGGGTTTAGAAAAGCAGTTGGTCAGGTTGTTGCCAAGTCGTCCTCAGACGAAGCCACCCTAACAGCCTGAGACATTCATGCCCACCAACCACTTTTCGGGGGGTTCCAACTCTTTAAAGGCCAGAGCCATGTGGGGGGTATTCTTTTTTTGAGATTTGTTTTCCTGGGTCTTAAAGGGCACCCAAAGGACCCCCGAAGCCACTTTGCCGGGTTCTCCCAAGAGAGGCTCCGGTCTAAAGCAGGACCCGGCCAACGGAAAGCACTCGAACTACACAGCGGTCAGCGGCACGCTGATCACCCAACGCTCGGAGGGGTGCTTCAACTGTGGCCTGACTCTGCCTCCTTCAGTGAGCGTTTTGGGCGGCTGGACCGGCCAGACGAAGCTTGGAGCTATGAGGGCTTAAAGCGGCGGCTTGGAGGTGGCGATTCTGGATAAATTCAAAGGGTACTAAAAGAGTAGAAAAGAAACTGCAGGAAGAACCGGTGAAGTAAAGCCGTGGTTTTTAGGCTTGGGGCTTAAGCGGTTCGAGGGAGCTAGGGATCGGAGTGGGGCGCATTCTTCACAGGCTTTGAAGTCTCTGGGGCCTGGGGTAAGACTGAAGGAATCGAGTCGTCAAGTTCTCCCAATTCGTCAAGCCACAGCCGCCCAAAAAATTGGGCTTGGAGATGACTCCTTCCAAAGTTGGATCGAGTTTGGGCCTGGGGATTTTGGTATACACCCTGAGATTGCAGCCTATGGGCAACTACCTGCCCTTGGATTATTTCCAGGTAGAGCTCCGTGGTAGTTTGGATGAAATCGGTGGTTTTGGGAAGGGTGTATTCTCAGGGTGCAATACCAAAAGCCTGTCTGAGACAAATGTCAATATCCGCTCGAACCACCTCATAAACCATGGTTGCAACATCATTGTTGGTATTTACAGGGGAGTCATCAGAAGCCAGGGGTAGGTGGTGCGAAGCGGATGTCGTCCACAGAATCCCAGCAGTTGGTATCACTTTTCCTGGGCCGAGGAACGTGGGCATAGTGGCCACTGCCAGTCAGGCAGGGCGAGTGTATTGCGCGGCTTTCATGGCCAACGCAACGCACCCCCCGGTGATCTCCGTCGATACGGTTCGTGAGCGAAATCTCTTCAGCTATCTGACGGTCACTGGGTTTTCCGTGTCCATCATCATTGCCGACTCTTGGCTAGTTGCCTGGATCTTTCATGTTTCTTTCTTTGTTTCTTCCTGTGCCTGCCTGCCTGCCTGCCTGCCTGCCTGCCTGCCTGCCTGCCTGCCTGCCTGCCTGCCTGCCTGCCTGCCTGCCTGCCTGCCTGCCTGCCTGCCTGCCTGCCTGCCTGCCTGTCAGTGCTTGTTTTGTTTTGTGTTGTTTTGTGTTTGTGTTTGTATTGGTTTATCTGGTGGGCTGTCTGTTTGATTGTTTGCTGGCATGCTTGTGTGTTTAGTTGTTTGGTTGTTTGTCCGTTTGTTTGCTTGTTTTGCAGTTGGCACCTCCAAACCACCAATCCACAGCAGGTCGTACAGGGGAACCGGAAAAACAACCTCGCCATTCTAGAGGGGTCCATATCCTGATTCTGTTTGTGCCACCAAAGCCAACCACCACCCCTCTACGGGAAATCCTGGGGTGAGTCCCCTGCGCATGGTAGCCCACTTAGCTTTGGAAGCAAACCCCTTAATTAAGGTCCAACCAAAACAAACCAGTTGGAGGGAAGCTCACTAACCACTTACTATCTACCTGGATGGTCAAGCTGCTTGGTAAGTATATTTTTGAGGGATAGGACGCTAACCCCAGTTCCCCCACCCAGAAATACGAGAACTAGCAAGTGGAAATCCGACCTCCAGGGGACTGACTCACATGCGAACTTGGCCAAAGCTCGCGCGGTGCCTCGCGTAAGGACCTCACGGAGTCCACGGAGTACCAGATCGCCTGCGCCGCGGAGTCGGACGGCGGCACGGTGAGCACCCAGGCGCAGCTCGAGGTCACGCGCCGCAGCTTCCTCACCCAGGCGCGCGCGGATTTTCGCGGGCGCGCGCATCGCGCGCGCGCTCCGCGGGGCGCGTGGGGCTTGGGGGCGCCGGAAGAGCGCCGCTTGGCGCGCTTGGAGCGGGCGGAAGCCGGAAGCCGGCATAGAGAAGGTTTCGGGTTTGGGCAAGGCAACTATTGGTTTCGGGGGAGTGCGCAAGGGAATTGGTTGTTTTTACAAGGAACACCGCGCGAAAACCCACCATTTTTTTCTTTTTTAAGGAGGGGGGGGGCTTCAAAAAGAAAGAGAGGCCCAAATGGCAAAGCAGAAGCCCAAACCCAGGAGGCCAGGTGCTTGAAAAGGTGGGAAAGGGACCAAAGCGAGCCAACGCAATGGGAAAACCACACGAAACCAACAGGTTACCATTTTCTTGGCTGAAATGAAGATTTGTTATTTTCCCCCTGTTGGTGTTGTATTCCTCTTACAGGGCAACCCTGGTTCCATTGTTGTGGTTTTAACCATGGGTTGCACAACGGTCAGGGGGTTTTCCAGGAATTGGTTTTGGAGGTATGGATGCTTACCACCAATATAATGTTGTAAGGCGGTTTGTACTATATAACCTCCATACCTCCTAACCCTTGAACATGGCTGGACAACAAAAAACAACGACAACATGCAGGTAGCTACAGAACCTCCATACCTCATTGAAAACGCCCTTGCCACTGGCTGGACAACAAAAACAGCAACGACACGAAATCATAAGACCCCCCCCCAAAAAAATCATCCCCAACACCTCAAAACACGACATCCCACACCCCCATCCCCAACACGAGACACAAAGCGCCTCCAAACCCCATCTCTGAGAACGCAAACGGCCGCGATAAACACAAAAACACAGAATCACGGCCCCCTTGTCATAGTTGGGAAACAAATAAAAAGTGACGCAACATCATCAGAAAAACGATATTCCCACAACTGAAACACAAGCGAATACCTCGAAACCCCACCCCTGAGAACGCTGTGTAAAACCAAGGACGCACAAAGACGGCCCCCGCCAAGCCGCCTGCACCCTTGTAGTGCTGTAATACCTCCACACCTCCAAACCCCATCCCCGAGAACGCTTGGCCAAAGAAAGCAACTGTAGTGCCGCAATGCCTTCACACCTCCCACCATCCCCCAAAAAACGGCAAACGGCGAACAAAAACCGACACCTCACGACTTCTCTTCGCCCGCCCGCAGAGCGCGGAGGCGGAAGAGAATATCATCAGCTCCATGCGCATCACCCGCGCCCCCGGGGTCATCGGTGACGAGATCACCGCCAACGCGCAGCTCACGGCTATCGGCTACCTCTGGTGCCAGGCGGGGCGCGGGGCCATTTGAATCGGAGCAACGGGGGGCGTCGCTTTTTTTTTGAGCTCGCCCCCCTTTTGTGGAGGCGTCGGGTGTCGTGTTTTTGTTTTTTTCTTCGGAGGTTCCCCCCCCCCTTTTGAAGAGGCTTTGACATTTGAAAGGAAACCAAAGGGGGGGGGGATGGACCCAAGGTGCTCTGCCCCCCTTTGAGGCTTTGAAAGGAAACCAGAGGCGGGGGGGATGGACCCAAGCAGTCTACACTTGAGCATCCATGTAAAGCACCCTACCACCAAAAACGATAGGGTGCTCTGCAACTGGGGCTGTCTCCTTTTGGTAATGTTCCCCCGCCCATTTTTTCATCAAGGGTCCGGGTTTCTGGACGAAAGGACTCTCAACCGCTAAGAAGGGACCCGATGAACAAGTCTTTCGCTTTTTAAATCAGGGATCAACCTTACCATGTCTTGGCCAAGGGAAAGCCAAAGGAGAACACCGCCATTTGGGGGATTCCCTCAAATAGACAAGCCCAAACAGAGGGACCGTAGGCGTCCTTTTTAGGGTTAGCTTGATTAGACATTCCACTGGGTTAGATGGGTTTTATTCCATTTGCCAGGGAAGTCCATCTATTTACCAAAAAGGATACCTATGAGAGGGACCCTCAAAATGGGTTTTTCGGGGTTTCTGTGGGTTCCAGGTCTTTCTTACGTCCACCCTGCGGGAGCTGGGCGTGCCCCAGAGGCTCAGCTGAAAGCGACCATGGGGTCTCTGCCCGGATAGGCCCCCGATAGACCCTGATTTACTCCGGGGGGGCGGGGGCGTCCATGGGGTCTCTGCCCGGATAGGTTTTTGGAGAATCACTTTTTGCCACTACCCAGATTTACTTGGGGGGGGGTGATTGACCAGCAGGAACATCATAGAAACCAGCAAGAAACAATCACACGGAGTTGGGCCGTCCACCGCTTTACGGAAAAAGACGGGGGTGGTTCGCAAAAAACGCGCCTGGCTGTGCTGCGGCACTGAGGAGAGAGATCCTCACGGCCGGGGATAGCCTGAAGGTTGCAAGGATCCAAGATCTCACCGCCGTGGTCTTTCCAGAGCTGGACCAGAACTCCTCCTACGATGTGTGGCTCGCCCGCGACCGGAGCTGAGCCTCTTTTTTTTTTTTGGTTTGAAGCCGGTTTGGGTTTGCCGGGGGTCTTCAAGGTTCGCTCGACCGGATCTGAGTTTTTCTCTGGTTGGTGCTTTTTTTTGTTGGTCTTTTTCTCTTGGCTGGTCACAGGTGATCGGCTTTTGTTTCCAGGTCCAAGAATTTTCCGGGCAAGTGAGGTGGTGCACCGCGGAGTACAACGACTTCCGCGACGACCAAGCTGGCCAGGACCTGCTGACGCCTTTCCCGAAGAGCACTGTGATCCGCATCGATAGCTCCTACTACGTGGCCCACGTCTTGGTCTACGTGACCAAGGGTCCGGCGGAGATCTTCTGCCAGGCCTATCCCTGGGCCTTGCGGCCCTTTACTGAGCGGCCGGGCATTCCGACCACGGAGCAGTTGCAAGCCTCGCCATATACGACCATCTACCAACAGGTGGGTGTTTGTCTCAAAAGAGGGGAAATCGATCCCACATGCTTGTTTTTTGCTTCCCCAAAAAGCCCAAGCCCCAAAAAGGGTACCTTCCAAAAAAAACGAAAGCACCTCCAGGTGCTTTCGGGCATGGTGGTCATTGAGCTGGAGAACCTGGTGCCGGGCAGGCATTATGACGTCTACTGCTACTCCGAGACCTACGTGCCACCCAGCTCCAGCGGAATCGACACGGCGCCTCGATTTGGAATGGACGCAGATGCCATCCTGGAGACCAGGCATTTGCTCATCACCCAGGGGCCCTTCTTCGACGACTTGGGCTGGTTCTGCGTGTCGGGCCGGCCATGCAACGTGACTGACCTGCTCGGCTTTCATCTGTCCGAGAATGACCAGCTCTTTGTGAGGCCAGAAACAAACAATGCCACGCCCTGGCGCACTTTCAAGGGAGAGCTGGTGGAACAATGGGGTGGAACGCCATGATTTCCACCGCCAAACTACCCCAAGGTAAGCCTAACAGGTCGGGGTCCGAATATTTGCTACCATCACCGAGGCTCCAAGTGGGTTTCGTTGGGTGTGATATTGAGGGAGATGGGTTCTTGTTATTCGGGACCCCTAGAACAGTTGGGTCTGTCTTTTACCAGGACCGCCTGGTTTCCCTGAAAAACCAACCCCAGAACGGGTACCGTCAAAGAAGACAGACCCAGTTGTTTTTTTTGTTTTGTTTTTTGTTTTCCTTTCAAACCACAGTTGCATCACAATCAAAACCCGGGTGACAATCCCAACCACAGATGGGTGCAGCCGCCTTTTTACTTCTTTACATGGTTCTGGGGAGCAAATGTTGCTTTCAGGTTTTGCTTATTTTTGGTGCATTTTGCGTGGATGTTAGGACTTTGACTTTTTGCCACTACTGGCTTTTCCATTAAACCACTAAAAGTTGAACTTTTAGCAGGGGAGCCGAAAGCAACCGAGTTTTGCTAAACTGACTCCTCACTTTGTAGCGGGCCTCCAACAACCCGGCGGCCCATCGACGAGCTGCTTGAGAGGTCGGACGGCTGCCCTTTGAGATGCCGCTGCAACGGGGTGGCGGACGACTACGGCAAGGGCGCCATGTGCTCCGAGATCTCCCAAGACCCCACGGTGCAGGCGGGACCCTTTTGGTTTCTCAAAAGGGGGGGAGGTGGCGCGGGCTTTTCAGGCAGAGGGGGTCGGAAAAAAAAGACAAATAAAAAGGGAGGCGCGTTGATTGTCGCTGGGTGACTTTGAAGGAGAAGTTAGTTGTGGAAAGCAATTCTCTTGTGCCATTGTTCTTGAACATCAAATGTGGGAAGGACGGCACATTTGACTCGTCGTTTCAAATTCACAACAAATCGAAGCAGAAAAGTGGTAGTTTGGCAAATGCACACCAAACACACTTGCGCACACACACACACGCACGCACGCACGCACGCACGCACGCACACACACACACACACACACACACACACACACACACACACACACACACACACACACACACACACACACACACACACACACACACACACACACACACACACACACACACACACACACACACACACACACACACCACACACACACAACACACACCACACAACACACAACACACAACACACAACACACAACACACAACA